GTTCTATAATGCTTTAAAAGTCAGATATCAAATCCCATAAAAATTGAATAAAACTTCTTCAAAATAGCTCCTTATACATATTTGAATATGGTACCAAGGACATCCTAAAAGCATATAGAACGTTCCACTCTAAACTAAATTAGATAAATTGGATACATATCCCAAACACACAGGAGTTTCACTTTCCGAATTAAAAAAAAAAAACAAAACAAAAAACAAACCAACAACAAAAACTAAAATAAACTAAAGAGTTAGTCATCATTCCTTCCCTTTTGTCCATCAGGGCCGGTGAAATATAAACTTTCCTGCTACGTTATAAGCTCCTGGAGAGCTTGGGCTCTCTTCTCTGTCTTACACCGCCAGAGTGCCCCAAAATGCCTTGGGCAAAGTAGACCCTCAACCCACACCAGTACTGATTAGCTAATAAATTATTAACAATGAACTTTTAGGCTAGCGGAGGAGATTGAGACCTCTTCTCTCTTGGGCTGAGGATGAGAACCTCAGAACCCTTCCTGGAAAGCTCTTCAGAAAGGACTCCTCTTCATAGCGGACACGACATGTGCACCAGCCCTGTTCTAACCTCCTACATGTCATTCTTTTCATCCGCATCCCAAGCCGTCCTATGGGGTAAATCCCATTTTTATTCCCATTTGACGGACAAGAAAACCAAGGCACATAGCACTTTGGTCATGGTTAGTAAACGGCAGAGCTGAGATTCGGTTCCAGAGCATGTGCTATGTGCATGGAGCCACAACCCCAAGCAAGAGTTAGAGCCAGCCACAGGGAGGGTGGTGGCCTCCGACGTGGCCAGAGCAGCGCGGACAGAGGAAAAAGGGGCATGAGGAGCAAGACCCATTGGAGGGGATGAAGGTAGTTCATAGGGCCAGGCCATGGAGCCACGGAGAGTGTGCGCACATCTAATATATCTTCTACAAAAGTGCTGTCACCCTGATTCTCCTTTGGGGAAGTGTTAGAGAAAGATTCCTGTATTCAAGTCCTTTTAAAGCATCGGTGTGAAGGCTCAATCCCAGGGCTTGAGGGTTGGCTCTGCTGCCGCCCCACAACCAAGGGGAGGCCACGTGGCGGGCCCCAGCGAGGTCTCCGGGCAGCGGGCATCACGTGCCTCCAACTGGCCCAGAGCGCCCCCTGGGTGCTCGCAGCTGGCCGTCCTTTGCAACAGATGCAGGCTCACAGAGCTGAAGGGACCCAGCACCCTGCATTCCTTCCCTTAGCCGCCCGACTGGCCAACTGCTAGCCAGCACTAGCCTGTTTTGCGGAGGAGGGCTCCGGGTCCTCTTGGCACCGAAAGTGGGAGGGGGCGGGGGCGGGGGCGGGGTTCAGCGCGCGCCTGCGCAGCGGCCCGGCGGCCACGGGCTGGGAGGGCCCGCTTCCCTTTCTCCGGATCCGCTGCGCTGGGAGTGAGAGGGGGTCAGGATTTCCCCGCTGCCGTTTGTGACCCCGGGGGATTTCTCAGGGTTCCGAAAACAACACAGCCCTGGCCGGGAGGGATACGGGCCGGAGGATGCCAGATGTTTTGAATTCTTTGAAATCTCTAAGCATCTAGAAAAAATAATCATGGTGGGTAGGTGTGAGCAGCTCTTTAAAATGTGGCACACTTCCCCCCCCCCCGAGCTTAAAATAGAATTTTTCAAGGGAAATCAAAGTATAAAAAATTCGCAAGTGCTCTTCTTGCTATAAAACAGAGGCAAAATGCTACAGCCTTCCCCCCCCCCCTCCGCCCCAGTGTGGCTACACTCATGATCATCCGTGCAAAATTGGTCCTTTCCTCCGTTGATACAGCAGTCACCCATGTCTTTCCCACGGCTCTGGGACATGCTTTGTGTGAAGACCCTGCTGCTGACCCTGGACATCGGAGCTTTCCCTCAGGGGGCCCCACTATTTCCCCGACGAACACCACAAGCGTAATGTGCGTATCCCCCTTCCACCCCATGGCTTTTCTCTGCCAGTGTGGTTTCTGGAAGGCTGTCAGACATTTCCCTGTGCCTGTCTGTTTCTGAAAAACACAGAGAAGCCTCTGTGATGTGCACAGGCCACTGGGGAGTGTGGCTCACGTCAGTCAGATGCCTCCAGGACCAGAGGGGAGGGGGCTTGGCGGAGTGGTGCACTTGGAGAATAGGATGCAAGTTTAAGGTCAGCTTTTGCCACTTGGGGAACTTGGGCAAGCACTCACCCTCTGTAGAGCTTCACCTCCCCTCATCTGTGAAATGGGTGTGATGACTGAGTCGATATGTGTGACATTCTGGGCAGGTAGGTGCTCAGTCCTGAAAGTGCGTTGCGAGGGTGGTGTTGTCCCCACCCCCCGCCCCCCGGCCCCGGAGCTCTGTGATCTGCTCTAGTCTAGTGCTATCTGGATTGTGTCGTGGCAATAAAGGACTCGACAGCTGGCGGGCAGACTCACTTCCAGAGGACAAACCCTGACCAGCCCGCAAGGTGACTTTCCATGTAGTCGTTGCCCTGAGATTCTAATTGCAGCCTGGGTTTGTTTGTAGTGTGTGTGTGTGTGTGTGGGGGGGGTGGTCACACTCCCTGGTTCCCCGTGTGTTCATAGGGCCACTGTATCTCTCACTCAGGCTCAGAACATTCTTTTGCGCCCAGTGCCTGCTGGTGGCCTGCCAGGTGGCTTCCTGCCCCTGATCCTTCTTTGAGCTGCAGCCTTGGAAACTGCCTGAGGCCCCGGGGGCCCTCCTCACGAGGGTGCTTTTCATTTCCTTTCAACTTTCTGATCTTCTTGAAGAGGAGAGGAATCCCCCAAACCAAGGGGAGAAGAATGCCAGGCAGGGAGAGATGAGGGGTGGGGTGCTGCCCACTGGGTTGGCCCCGCGGCCATCTTTCCCACTCTGGTGCCTCCTTAGGTGGATACAGGCCACCAGCCTCTTTGGCCCCCTCCCCTCTTCCTTTCCCAGAGGAGATGCAGGAGTTACCTAGTCGGTGGGTGACGCTTGTTTTCACGTTGAGGTTGGGTGCAGCTAACTTACCACCATTATAAGATGGGCGTGGGGTAGGGAGAGGATGCAAAGTGAGGAGCGGGGCTGAGGCCACTGGGTCTTTCTCCTTCCCTCTCTGCCCAGAGCAGTTCAAGGCAGCTACCTGGGGAAGGAAGGGTGTTTGCTCTGCAGGCTCAACTTTCTCTGGGGGTGAGTTAACAACCTGGGTTCCTGGGACTAAGGCATTGTTTGGGCCCCATCAATGAGCTTAACTAGTAACTGCTTGGACAGTTGTAAAGATCTGCTGGGTGGGCACTCCTGTTTCAGAGAACCATGATGAATTAGATTGGATAAGTGTCCCGAACACCTATACATTTTACACACATCTGTACACGCGCACGAGTGTTCTGAGGAGTGGGAGAGAAATCAAGAGGAGATGTAGCAAGTATACAGTTGTCCTACCAGCAGGAAAATTAATATTGCACTTCTGTTGACATAGCCTCCCCTAATCTAATGCAAATATTGAAAATGTATAATTGCATACATTCCCAAGGAGAAAAAATGATTATCTATCGTGGTCGTTGATGTTAACTCAATGAGTTTCTAAATTTCTGAGTTCAGATTTGTTGCTGAGAACACACTATACACCTGTAAGCAACCCGGAAGGTCAAGTCCACCTGCTTAGCCTTCTTGTCTGGTTACTTCGACTCCTGCTCACCTCCACCGTCTTCCATTCTAAAGACAGACAGCAGTACTAACTCTGGAAAGTGAATATTTTATTCACGGAAACTTCTGTTTAATTCAAACGTGATGTTTGAAAAAAGCTGTGCTGGGGCTTAAGAACCCTATTTCTGTTATTTAAAGCAAATACAAAAAATGTCACTTTTTCAGTATTTTCTGGGAATCTGTGATGTGGCATGAGTCTTGGATTTGAGCTCCCCGATGAAAAGATGCTACTCGTTAGAATCACTCTAGAGTTCTCTGACCTTCCCACCCACCACACACTTCCCACCGCCTCCGCCCGCTTTCAAGATGAACTGGTGTCCAGAATTGATACGCCCCCAGTGAAGCCTGGGGTTGTGAAGCAGGGGTTTTTCAACCTTTGCTGATGGCTAACAAACTAATTAGGGAGGGGGTCAGGATAGAGGAACGGGGTGGGCCTCAAACCCTAGGAGCTAGGAACTAGAACCTCCTCCACTGTTTGTAAATGTGTTTGGTTTTCTCTGAGTTTACTGAGAAAAATGCCTGATTATTTGAGGGATATATTTGCAGGATAATAACTCGCTAGTATGGAACACCACTTTGTCTGTCTCTTTACACCCATCAGAGCCTGCCTCACTGCCTAAGCCAGAAGTTGGGCTTTCAAATGCCTGGGAGGTCAGGCAGGGAAAATGAAGGGGTGAGGAAGTGAGCCGAGTGTTACTGCCAATTATTTAAAGAGCCAGTACTCCAAAATTCTGTCAACTGTTTCTAAGCATGTATTTAAGTATTATTTAAATTAATTTATTTAAGCATAATGCTCTGACCTCTGGCCCACTTCCTCCTAGTTACCTGCAGATTTAGAGCACAGGAAAACATCCAGATGATACAGAGCCTCTGGCAATTTGGGCAAAATATTTGAATATTTTTAATATGATGTTGTAAAGCGTATGGAGAGTAACAGATCTAAATCTGTCAGATAATTGTTTGAGATTAAAAAAAAAAAAAACAACAGTGGACACACAGATAACATGACCAGTAAAAGGAAGTAGGTAAAGTTTCTTTCTTTAGAAGTCGGCTCAGCCAGTGGTCTTCCACATTTAATCTCCATGGAGACACTCTTTTCTTTCTCCTTCTCCTTTCATTGCTATTCCCCCCTAACTGCCCCTCCCTCTCCCCCCTTTTTTTTGCATTTCTTTGAGATCCCAGAAAAACAGGCCTCCCCTGGGGCTTTAGGTTCCCCAGACCCCTCCCTATCTGAGTGATGTCATGAAAAAAAAGCACCCCGAGCTAACCATATTTCACAACACAGAGGCCTCCGCACTCGCAGCCTAGGGGAAATTTTTAAAACGAACTGAAATAGGAAACCAGTGATGTAGCAAATAATTGGTGAAGGGAAATAACCTTGCCCTTTATCTTTCCACGGGTGGTGAATTTCCAGCGGAGAGCCGGTTGGTGGCTTCCCACAGTGAAAGTGCTGGCCGCGCTCTGCTCCCCCAGCACCTGACACAGGTAAGGAGCTGGGGTACCCCCAGAGTCCTGAGTCAGCTCCTGGCCTGAACACGCTTGACCAGGGGGAAGGGAAGAGTGTGGTCAACAGCCTCACACGTGCGATTTACCAGAAGGGAGCCAGGAAATACTTAACTCTAGTTCACTTCCTCAGTGGGAACTCCTTCCATCTGTCTGTGGGTTTGGCAGAAAGGGAGGGAGGACAGTGAAGTATGGGAGGGGGGGTCTTTGAGTTACTGGTGGCTTTGCAAAGGGGAACCAAAGGGAAGAAGTGTTGTTGAACTGACTCGAGAGGTAGCAAGCCCGAGGTCTCCTAGGGGCTGGGGTTTGGAAGCAGCGGAGAAGCAGATCCTCTGGACACCATGACCTGGGGTCATCTGCATTTGGAGTCACTCGGAGGGGAGTCACAGCTCTCTCTCCAGGCACATGTTTTATGTGAGTTCCTCCTGAAGTCCTTCAGGCAGCCTCGTTGCCCAACATTAGGCTTCCACCGTGGCTCTTCTCTGCGCGTCCCCTTTTCCCTGCTATTTATTTTCAAGTTTGATGCAACCTTGGCACAAGTTACCATTTCCTTCCATGAGGCTGACATTTCTTGAGTGCCTGCCATGGGCCGGGTTCATCTCTTTACTCATTCTTTTTAATCCTCATGACACTCCTGTACCATTAAGCCCATTTGCCAGGTGATGAAACTGAGGCTCGGGGATGTTATTTAATCTGCAGATCACATAGATAGCAAGTGACAGGGCTGAGAGCTGGGGTCAGGACTTTTCCTTCTCCAAATATCCGAATTCTCCCTGCTAAGTGTTTCTCATTTACCCTTTTCCTTGTCACCTTGCCGAAGTTCCGGCTCCTGTGGCATGTTGCCTGCATTACGTCAAACAGTGTCTGACAGTTTCTTTGCCCAAGATCTCAACACCCTCAGTTCTCTGTGCCCCTCCGTCCTCTGCATAACTATCTGGGGGATGTTTAAAAATACATACGCTTAAACCACTCTCAGGCTTAAAATTCTGTAGTATTCCGTGGCCTTTGAGATTCTCAAGGCTCTGTGCGGCTGGCCCTGGCCCGTCTCCTGCTGTTTGCTGGGACGCCCCCTCCACGACCAGGGACTGCTTGCAGTGTGGACTGTTGGTCTCTCTGCAAACCTGTCATCTCATTGCCTGCTTGTCAGTCTGTATTTGCTATTGCATCGCAGATTTTGTTTCTACACCCCCAGCAGTGTGCCTGTGGAAAATGCTCGAGGGACAGCAAATGAACGAAGCATTCGAAGATGTGTTGAACCACGTTTGAACTTCTGTGTGCCTTGCTTCATATGCTTTCGACGGAGGTCCTCTGGATTTATCTTGTCTGTTACTGGCTTATCCCCCATAACCAGTTTGAAGCCACGGGGCAGAGTTGTGGAATCGTGGGGAAAAGCAGCAGCTGGTGGAACCCGAGGGGGGCCGGAAACAGCCCAGACCCTGCTCTTGAGCAGACACAGTGGGGTGAAGAGGAAAACATGCCAGCTAGTGCTCTGGAAGTATCTGATCCAACCTGGAATTAGACTGAGAGTTCCTCTCCTTTCTTGCCCTTTCTATAATTAGGTTATAAATAAATAAAAGTATTTTTGATACCTTATAACAAATGACAGACCTATTGTCTCTCTATAGGGTGTCCCGCTGTTTTTTTAAGTTGAAATTTTCTTTTGGGGTTATAGGAAAAGGCCAGTTGTTTTTCCTGTAATGTTGTTAGTTAAGCTCCAGTAATTTCTACAATAGTAATGCATGGCCTTTCAGAAGGTTTAGAGTTTAGAGTACTTTCACCCACATTACCTCCCCCGGTTTTACTTCTCGTCTACCTCGTGAATTGGGCGGCCCCACTTACAGATGGGCACCCGAGGCCCGGAGGTGGGGAACAGGACGGGTGAATGACCTGAGTAGAGGCTCCAGACCCCCTAAGTCTTACATGTGAACCTGGGCTTTGCCGGTTGTTTCTTTATTTTGTTGATCTTTTCATAGATCGTCATCTAGAGAGCCTCCCACTTGCATTAAGGCTGTGGACGGAATGTTCTGTTGGTAGACTCTGTTAGCTGAAGGGCTGACTGCGGGCTCAGGGGAAACACCCAGCCAGAGCAGAGCTGTAGAGCCACCCACAGGCCCACCGGGTGTGAGCAGCAGGAAGCAGGACTGTGCCGCCCCTGCCCCTGGCTGAGCTCCTTGGTCCTGGATGTGCTGCTCTGGGCTGGGCTGGCTCCGGCTGGGCAGTTTCACCACACCACCGCTTCTCTTGGTGTGTTGGGTCAGAGAAACTTGGCTGATCCCAGAGAGGCAGAGGCGGGGAGATTGGGCCAGGTGCACCTGTGCCTGGAGCGGCAGGCCTGGGTGGGTTCCGCTGGCTTGGAAGCACTTCAGCCTCCAGGAGCTTTTCTTAAAAAGGAGCTCCAGGATCGCTGCATGGGGGAAGGGGGCATAGTTTTGTTTTGTTTTGTTTTTTTAAATCAAATTCTCAAAGGTCTCCATGTCCCCACCCCTCCAAATGTTTAAGATCCACTCCTCTATAGGAATTTCATGAATATACAAGTAACATCTTACCTCCAAAGTGGAGATGTTCTATATTATCCCCAGTTTGTGGCGATAGGAAATCGTTGTGCTCATGAGGTCAGGCAGTGTGTCCTGCTGCCCCTCAGATGCGCCGTGGTGTTCGGCGTGCTGCCCACTGGGAGGTGCTCTTCTCTGCTTGCAGTGGCCCCCACCCGGCCGGGCAAACTCCCACTTACTTGTCTGTTGAAACCTGGTGCAGATTTCATCTCCACGCTCAAGCCTTCTTAGACTCCTTGGGGCAACTTGGGCACCTTGCTGCAAGCCTCTCAGCATCTTGCTCTAACACACATCTTGCTGTCCTGTGGTCACTTGTCTACCCCCACTGTGTTGGGAGCCCTTGGAGAGCAGGGCCATGGTCCATCCATCTTTGCCTCTCGGAGCCTAGCTCTGTATCAGGTACACAGAAGGTGCTCAGTCAACCTGTTTGATTGATAGCTGGAAGCCAGGCTATTGAGAGCTGACGTGAAACCAATTCTGAGCTAAATCAGGTCAGGCTCTCAAAATATGGTTAGCCCGAGTCACACAGGATTCCTTAAATGTCATATGAAAATTGTCACTTGCATTTTGATGGTGTGGTCACCATGACAAGCAGAGCAGAAAATGCGGCTACTCATTGAGCATCCACCGTGTGCAAAGCACTCTACTGAATCCCCTCCTAAGAGAATGTGTAAGTTCTGCCTAATATGGTCAAGCCATACAAAATTTACGGTCTTGAGCCTTGGTCCCGTGGCCAGACTCACCAGCATAGGTCTGATGTGTTTTGTGCTTCCATGCTTTTTTGCAGATGCACTCTATATCCTAAAAATAAACATCTGGTAACAAAGAATGGTTGGCGAGGTAACCATGTTTCTTTATATGTCTTTGGAAGGAGAACAATTTGGTCATATGAGTCACATAATTTGTCAATTACAGATAGTAACACTTGGAAATGCTGCGTGCTCCTATGCAGGCAAAGGTATGAAATCCATCTATATTACTAGAAGTCAGACACACCTTAATTTCACTTACCTTCTTGAATATCGCTAACCACGCAGCAGTCTTAACTCAAGACCCACCATCATTTCATTCTTCTATAAACCGGATTTCCATTCATAATTTTTCTCATCCTTCCCTACTGTGAAGATAGTTTATCTATGGATCATTAGTGTCCATATATACTTTGAAACCTTTATTTGAAGTTTTAACCACTAAAGTGGATTATAAAAATCATGGTATGTGGATATTTGGTTCCCAGCCCATAAATTTACATCGCCAACCACACCTCTCGAAGGGCTTCTGCTGACACTCCATTCTCCCTGTGGTGTCCAGGTGTCTTTTCCCGAGTGGCCTGCACAGGTAACAAATACCGTGTGGGGATCTTGTGGTTCCTGCCGGGCATGCTGGCCCTTCGGTAGGGCCAAGTATATTAGTTAGGTTTTCAGTCAAGTTTCCCTTATGTTTGGAGAGCTGGGGAAAGAGGTCTTCATCTGCCCATCGAAGAGAAGAAGCTCCCATCACTTTCCCAGAGAATTTTCCACCACCTTTAAACTCCCACTCTTTGTGCCCAGACACCTGTGACTGAGGCTCACTGACTACAATTAAGGCCCTAGCTCAACGATGCTCAAGCAAGCCTCCTGAATGTAGTACGATGCTCTGGCCTGCTCCTGGCCCTTGTCCCCTCTTCTCCTTGGCTCCCCATCACACCATACGCAGCTCAGTGGCCAGCACAGCCTGTTGAGTACCCGCCCCACTTCTGGGTGGTGGTGCCTCGAGGGACCCTGGGGCCATGTCTGCAACGGTCCCCCAGTCTTTTCCTATTGCGCCATGTCTCCTCCATCCTCTAACAAAAGTCCTGACATCAAACCTGTGACTCAAAGGCACCCATCAGGATAACAGCTGTATCATATTCATTCTCAAATGCTGAGGGAAAATCCTACCTGCCACCAATTGCCGTGGCTTCCTTTGCAATGTGTGCAGCAGATGTGTCAAAGCAGAAACGACTTGTCTGCCACCGCTGGGCTTTCACATTCAGGAAGCAGGAGGGGGAACTCAGCAGGGAGCCTGTGGGCTCCGCAAGCCACAGCCAGGCCTTCTGCAAGAGTTGGGGACAGTTCTGCAAGAGCTGGGGACAGTCCTGCAAGTGTGCCTGGGAGGACATGAGTTTTCTGGGACCCCAGCAGCCTGGAATGCGGGCTTCGTGCCTGAGCGTGGGGTCTGGGGGTAAGAGAGAGAGCACAGTGTAATCACGGAGACAGCTTTGCCAGATGCCGTCCGTGGCTGGAGTGGCCTGTTTGGTCATTCTCCCAGGATGCTTGGCCATGCTGTTGTAGGTTCCTGTAACCCCACTTCATGCCAAGAGTTTTAGGTAGGACCCAAGACCGGCATTGCCCAGATCTGTGCTGGGATCCCAGTTCTTGTGATCAGTGTGGCAAGTTACCCAACCCCCAGAGTCTCACTGGGATAATAATTGTACCCAATTCCTCAGGTGGGTCTGAGGGTAAATGATGCAATGTGGTGATGACAACAACATCTGACCTTTGGGAAATAACAATAATTGGTGGCTCTTCCGAGGTTTTATTCTGCCCAAGTTCTTCCTGGGGTGAGTGAGAGCCTTCGGGAGATGGATACTGATGCTCATTCATTTGGGGCCAATTCAGTGGAGAAAAGATTTAATTTAAACAACACTTTAGATTGACTACTTTTTGCCTGTGAACTGGGTTTTTTTTTTTTTTTTTCCCCTGCTCTTCGGTTCTTTTTGGAGTATACCCACATGATGCCAAAAACCCCTGGATGATCCAGGGAGCAACCTGACGCTTTGTCCCAGGGATGCAGTGTAGCAGGGATGAAGCAGAGGTGTGCTCTGCATAGTGCATCTTTGTGGTACGATCATGATGGAAAGTGGCCCAGATAGAGAGAGACACCGTGGAGCAGAGATGCAGTGGAAAGAGAAGCAGGCGGTGCCTCTGCTTAGAGAGCTTACTGTCCTCATGGGGTCCCTGGCAGCAGTCCTCGGGTTTTCACCCAGCTGCTAGGTGGTCACGCCTTCCCTAAACTCCTGTGTCGTCTGGTCGCTGGTGCTGAGCAGCGTTGCGGAGCCACAGACTCGTGAGCTGTGGGAACAAAGCAGAGTGGGCTTGTTTTGGTCCTCGGCAGGGAATAGCATTATTCTCAGGGAATACAAGCTCCCTTTGGAGTAGGGTAGGCAGCTAGGACGCACGCACCTCCATGCAGAGACCGCTGGGCAGAACTAGCCAAGTGCCTGGTCATCCGGCAGAGCAGAGACAGTGGTGCTCCCCTCACAGCCACCCCTGCTCCCAGTGCAGGGGTGAATCCCTGAATCCCTGACTAGGGCCCTTTCAATGATGCTACAATTCATGTGCCTCTGGCTATGAAGCTTGGGAACCACTTCTATTTGAAAACTATCCATTCTCCTTCCAGTCACCCCAAAGGCCCGTAAAAGAATCTGGTCAGCTTTTCCATGGGGGTCAGTGGGGCAGCATAGAGGGAGTGAGGCTTTAGGCAAGGCTTCTCCACCATCTGCAGGCCGACGGCTGTCCAAGGTGACAGCGAAGCCCTTCTCAGCCTGAAGTCAACAGGCTTGGAGCCTGCATGGGCGTTTCCTTTCTCATAGCACAGAATGAGTTTTGATGGGAAATCCACTATGTTTCGTAACATGGTATATCCTATTCTCTCATTCAATCATTCAACAGATATTTCTATAACTATGTCCCCTGGTACTGAATACAAGGAGTCATGATTACAGAGATGAGCAAGTAGATACTGTCTTGCCTTGTAAAGCTTATATTCTACTGAGCCGCACGGCTAAAAACAACTGACTGCACCGTGATCTCATCACAACTAAGATAAGTGCTACAAGGGAGAAGTGAGAGGCCAGGAAGCATGAGGTGCAGGAGCCTGCCCCTGTCTGGGTGGTTAGGGAGGGCTTCTGTGAGGAAGTGACACTTGAGCTGAACTCTGAAGAAGGAGTAGAAGTGAAGGTGAGTAGAAAAGCAGGGGCAGAGGAGGGAACAGCATATGCAAAGGCCCTGGGGTGGGAGCTAGGGTACAGGACAGAGGAGCCAAGAGAAGGCCAATTTGGCTGGAGCACAAGGAAGGTGGAGGAGACGTAGTATGAAATGAGAAGGTCTAGTGAAGAGTCAAGGTCCCATTAGTTGTCTGGTTAAGAGCTGCGGGAAACAGTGGAAGGGGTAAATAGGACAGTTGACATGACCAGATTGAACTCAGTTAGGCAGCAGGGTAGAGGGTATGTTGGGAAGCCCAAGAGGGGGTGCCCTAAGACCATTATGAGCTTGTTCAGGCGAGACAGCTGTTAAGGTTCCAATGGGGAGGCCAAGTGCTCTGTCATCTGGTAGGCAAGGTCATTAATGTGAAGTCTGTTCCTCAACAAAACCTGTAAAACCAAGCTTAAACCTTGTCATCCCTGGAAGCACGTCAATTCAGAGTAAACGCACCACTAGTGAGGTCCTAACCCTTAGACCAATAGTCAATGGCCAGGGTGGCTGGTTGTCCCACTGTCCCAGTCAAAAGGGGTAGAGCCTGGACGTTCTGCAGATCCCAGTGGTTGAACTGCAGTTGGCCTAGAAAATGAGCCACTTTGCGTGAAGTGAAAGCAGGGGTTGTGAAATCAGTGTCCTTACACTGGCTGAGGAGACTTGGGGGGCCGGAGGGTAGGGAAGCTTGCCCTCCAGGCCTCTCCTGGCCTGTCCCCCGTAATCAGGAGCCTTGGTTTCTGGGTCGCCAGTGGAGAGCTGCCCGTTCCAGGACTGTGGGCAGCTAGATGCAGGAGCAGAGAGACTGAGCCTCTTCCCGGCACCCAGGGATCCGTCTTCTAAGTGAGGCTACTCTTATATTTGTCATCTGGTTCTGAAAAGGGCCAGTTCTTGTAGCTGTGACATTAGATCTTGCTGCAAGGAGAAATCCCTAAATATCAGACTCTCGGACAGTCCCATGCAAAAACTCATTTCAAGGTCAAACAGAAATGAAGTCCATTGTCCACAGTCTTGTTGACTCTGCAGGTTACAAAGGACAACAGGACCTCAGGTGAACTTACAGGGGAAACGAGGCATCAGGATATCTACGAACACAGGAGGTGGGTGGCCAGGCTCGGCTGCAAATGGCTGTCGACACAAAATGAACACACCGTTTAGAATCTATAGAAGTAAGAAAAAAGTTTCGTTTGAGCCCAAGTTAGGACAGCTGCCCAGGAACATGCACTTCCCAGGGAAGAAAGTGCTCTGGAGAATGAACAGTTTTTATAAGGTTAGATCTTGTAAAAGCTCAAGAGATTATAGATTAGCATATGGGCAGGAATCAGGCGTTTGATGGTAAAGGAAGGCAGGGAGTGGGAGCCTTGATCCCTATGTCAAGGGCAAGATGGTTTTCCTTAAGACTACTCACTCAAAGCGCAGGCGTGGCAGGCTGTACGTCAGGCTCTGGGTTTTGAACAGAGTTTACACACAGTCATGTTGACTTAGAAAGAAGTCCAAACTGGCTTCCCTGGTCTATCAGGCCTTCAGCGAGGTTTTCTCTCATCACAGCTGCTGGTGGCGAATGGGGCTGCTGGTACAGGTCCCCAGCGGGGATGGGCTGGGGGCTGGGCCAGCTCTCCCGCAAGCGCCACTGGCCGTGTACATGAAGAACCCGTGTGATTGAACCAGGAACAAAGGACAAAGGAAGTGGACTCTCACCAGCCTGGTTTTTAGGAGTGAGGAAGGAAGCTCTTCTTCCTGAGATTCCCATCTGTGTCCCGGTGACACCTTGACATCGCCTTGCTTAACAGAGTCTTTGCTTTCCATGTTTCTCGACCCCTGATAAAAGACAGATAGCAGAGTAAGGTGCTCTTACTTATTTATACCTCCAGGCTAATGACTTGATTTATTCCCTTCCTGAAATCAGGTTTCTGTATGAGGGGGAAAAAGGGTGGGTCTGTTGATGCCAAAAAAGTGCTCTGCAAGCCGAGAAGGTCCGGCTTCCCCTCCTGGTGTCATGCAGCTCTGGGGTTCCTCCTTTTCCTGCTGCCCTTTCCAAAAGCACCAGGGAGTAGCCGAGGGCAGGGTGGCTCCACGGGGGAAGCTGCGGGCCGGAGAAACAGCCCCCACGCCGGCCCGATACACAGACACACGGACACACTCCCACGCCGCAGCTGTGCCAGTCGGCGCCCTCTGCGGTGGGCCAGCCCTTTGAGTCATCGGCCAGATAGATCACGTCATTTTCTTCACTCTCGCAGCTCCCCTGAAGCATGGGCTGAGCTTCTGGGCTGTGGACAGTTGAATCACACTGGCTTGGTTTCCAGCAGGCTGTGTTTGTGGAAGAGCAGGTTAGTGTGGTGCACCAGCCCCGGGCTGGCTGGGCCCCGGGGGCTCCCCGTCGAGGTGGCCTCCTGCCTGGCAGAAGGGTTACGGGCAGGCCCATCATTCACCCCATCTCTTCATCCGACAACTTCGTGCACTTAAAAAATACCTGGCCCAGTGCTGGGCGTAGGTTCTGGGGGTAGAAAACAGAATAAGAGGGCATAGTCCCTACCTTGGGACATATTATCTGATGGGGCACGCAGCTAAGACACATTCAAGTCAGGTGACTTTAAACTTTTAAAGAGAAGTAGTCGGAATATGTTGAGGGCAAAGAGAGGAACAGTCACCCTTCACCCCACCCCGCCCTGAAATCTCCCAGCTGGATTCTGATGTGTTCATTGCCTTTCAGAAGAAAACAAAGTATTTCATTTCATAAGGGACAAGGCGGAGGAAACAGACTTAAACTAATATCAGATTCCTGATGGGAGCAAGGGGAAGCGGGAGAACACACAGGGCATGCCCATTTTCCAGGTAAGGAGACTGGAACTCCATGCAGAGCTTTAACTATTTGGCCAGGCTCCCCTGCAAATTGCCCAAGGGCCGGGGGCACCTCTGTTTTCCCAGACGCAGAGTGGGTGGCCAACAATCTCATGGAAGACGAAATAAGTCAAGTCAACCACGGTGGAAAAATGTAACGCACACTGTCAAGAGAGTGGAAGGCACCCGAGGCCCAAACAACGCACACCTCCTACATGAGACATGGCTAT